CCCGATTCAATCCGGTTAACGCTGGTAAAATCCGTGTTGACGGGTTTTGGGCCGGGTTTGGGTTTAAACCCGTTCACTATTCACCGGGTTGGGTTGGGTTTGGGTAAACCCGACCCATGGGTACCCGCCCACACTCATATAATTAATTTTCTCGGTATATATAATATTCTAAACAACTAATCTTATTTATGTTTGTGGAGACATGTCTAATTTTTTCTTTCTAATTGTTTAGAATGAAGTTGATATTATCGAGTGGAGAGTGCGTTAACTTAATTGAAATGAAGAAGTTTTCAATTAATCATGTATTTATGGATAATTTGTGATTGACTTCAATTTTCTTGAGTTTTCTAGATTGGTGTTGAACAATTTGTATAGTTAAGTTGTGATTTGCTTAAATTTTCTATAATGGTGTTTTATATATGGATAATATTATTGAGAGATTGATATTTGACTTTAATTTTGATAGGAACTTGTTATTGTAAATTTTTTACGACAAAAACCCGTGGGTACCCATGAACCCGCGGATACCCAGCGGGTTGGGTTGGGTTTGAGTTTTTCAAACCCAGTGGGTTTTACCCCGGATTTTTTTCACGGATAAACCCATGGGTTTGGGTTTGGCAAAACCCGACCCAACCCGACCCATTGCCATTCCTACTCTCGAATTCATCGTCGACATTCTTGAGTCGTAATCGTCGAGAATACGTCCAAATCATGAGTAGCGACTCCAACGAGGTAAAAATAAAAATAAAACCTCAAAACCCCTCTCCCGAATCCAATTTTCGGTTGTACCATGGACCAACAAAAAATCAGCTTCGGTTGTACAATGGATCAATCGAAAACTATCTTCAGTTGAACCATGGTGCAACCGAAGGTGATTTTCAGTTGGTCCATGGTACATCCGAAAATTGGCTTCGGTTGAGAGTTTTTTGGTGTTTTTTTTTTTGGAATTTTTCGGTTTATATCAATAATTTTTTTTTTTTTTTGCTACAATTTATGGTTTGGTCCATAAAATAATTTGTTGGATTTTGGTTTATATATTTTTTTAGATTTATGGAAGGGGAGGGGTTGTTTGTTTTGTGTTTGATTTTGAAATTCAAAATGGACAATTCAGTAAATTAAGTAGATGATAATTAATAATTTTTAGAATGAACTTTAATCATTTCGTATGAAAAATAGTTATTCTGTTCCTAAAATCATCATGAACATTAAACATGAGAAATAATTTTTCGAAAGTGGCCAACTATTCTCGCTAAGTTACAGCGAGTCACCGTAGCAAAATCTTGTGTGGCACGGCATAGTCAGTTATTCTTGCAGTTCAGATAAGATTCGGACCGCCACTTCTCTGAGTAAATCAAATTGACTTTTTGGAGAAGGGAAGAACGATTACTGGCATTGGGCCCTATGCCACGAACAGCTAGCTATACAATGAGCGTGGGGCCTTTTAACAGGCCCATACCGTAAGGAATTGGGCCTTTGTGCTCCTTGTCGACGAAATGTACCATGGGCCTATTTGTGCTCAGTAAGTCAACAATTAGGTACTCATTGAATTAAATTTTAAATTAGACTAAATTGATAGGGAGATAGCCTACATTTCCCCCACTAAATTGTTGTGTTTAGTAAGTGTGAACTGTGAAGTGATGTATATTTGACGGGTCTAATTATTTTCGTCTCCGTTTCATTTCATTCAATCATGTTTATTGGCCCACTTTCACGTTGTTTATTATTAACAAAAAAGAATGGAGTAGATCCGAACTCAACATCTTCCAATTAACAATAACTACTTGGACTCAGAAAATGGTTTACTTGACTGTAATATGAGTCAGATAAAATATGATAATTGAATGCAGATAAAAATATATGCACGAGATTTATTTGATATGTGCAAAATTTTAAGTATATGAAAAAATATTACATAATTTAGCGTGCTCTAATAACTTATTGTGAAAAAATGTTTTTTATTTTTCTTGCACTAACGATGGTTTGCATGTTGGAATAAACACGAGGATTTTGAGTTTTGAAAATCTTCAAATTTTGATAAATTTATTGCATTATAGGATTGAAAGAGTACATTGTTTGTTTATAGTTGATTTGATAACAAACTAATATCATTTTGCACCAAAATGTTCTAGCCCTCAACCAATTCCCTAGTAAAATACGATATTCATAAATTCGTGGCATTTATAATTTTTGGATATCTAAATCCATCTTACTTGAAATTGGGTTACAAATGCATCACCCAAATTCAATCGGCAAACAACCCCTGAAACGATCTTCCGTTGGTTAGGAGTTCCCAGGAAAGCTCTCTAGTATATTGAGAAAGAAGCTTAGCCTAGAAGATACATAGATCATAGCTAGATTTCCTGCCACACTATTCTGCAAACATACCCATATGGAATCGACGCAACACAAGCTGACTTCAAAAGCCTCCCCCAACAATAACATACACATAACACAACTTTTGGGGACGTCATAAAAACCCGGGAAATCTTCCTTTTGCCTGCCTTTTCCTCGCTTTAGACGTCAGCAGTCTCACCCTGCTTTTTGGGCTTTTAGCCTTTTTAAGCCAATTTGATCGATGATGAATAGCAGAAGAAAAGCTTTAGGTCCAGCTTTGTCAAAGTGGGCCTGGTTTGTTATAAGTCCATTTACATCACATCAAATCCGACAGCCCTCTTATCCATCCAAACGGCCCCTAGGGCAACATGCCAACATCAACATGCATGCATGTGCCGACACGAGGGATTGTTAGTTGTAATTAATCGACTATAATCCAGTCATTGTCCCCACAAATCGGCTTTACTTAAAGTTCACCCATATTCTACAGAGAGGGGAGTGTTTGGTTGGTAATTGGTATACACCAATTTCGTTATGGCAGGAATTAGGGTTGATAGATCATATAGCTTGACTGAACACCTGAAAATGTCAATGCGTGGAAGCTTTTCCATTGGGCTAGCTTCTTCTAATGTGCTTTGATGACTAAGCTAGTTAGTTATATGGTAAGATGCATGTCAACAACAACGGCTTTATTTGTTGACAAAAGAAAGATTGATGACTAGATGCTTTTTTGTTTTTAAAAATAAATGGTATAAAATTTTATTCTTGCATTTCCTAATTTATAGGATAATTGTGGACGAACTAGTTTTGAACATAGTTTCATTGAGGGATCCGGATTCAGGTAGAATATTCAAGAGTGTCATGTAATTTTAAATATTATATTGTATGTGTATTCATTGAAAGATATATGTATTAGCGGAATAAAAATTTGACTCTCACGAGTTACACGACAATATCATTCTTGACAACCCTACAAAGATAAGCCGACAAAGTCCACACTATCCCATTTTATGCCATAACATAATTGATCATATCCTTAGTACTTAAATCATCAGTTTTTGAAATCCAAACATAAGAATTTTCGGCCATATATATATTCAATGTTCCAACATCCCCTCAGATATCAACAACCAATTCATCATATTCCAATGACTAAGGAGTTAATGTAACGGAAAATATAGTGTAGCTTAATTATGTAATCGAATATGAAATTTCTAGTTATGCATACTCACGGGGACGGCCAGTAGAATAGGGTTTAGGTGCATGTGGCCGCGTGGAATGTATTTGGAAAGGTGTAATAGTATATGTGCTATGGATATATAGGATAGATAAGCTATATGGTTCCTGGTTGTTGATTGTGTTAATATGACGAAGAAAAGCTTTCTTTACAAAGAAGGTGGGAAAAGGGAGATTAGATAAGCCGTATTGTTGGTGTTAGTACAAAACTGGGAATATGCTGCGAGAAAGAAAAAGGAAGTATGGAATAAACAAATTATATGACTCACATCACATGCATGGGTCATCTTAATTAACATCAACATTTATCCAACCGCCAACTTTACACGACAGATAACATGCGCGCCGGCCATTGCCAAAGACACAGTGAGATGCTTTGGTTAATCTGTTGTTGTAGCTGAAATATGGGTGATATTATACGCAAAGATTATGAAGTAAGAAAACCATATTTAGATTCTGTCACGAATCAGTTGATCCTAATAATTTGAGCTTTGGAAGAGCTTCAATTGTGGTTCATATACCGTTTACTAACACACACCCTCAAACTCTAGCCACTCATATAGGCTTGGAATTTGCATAGGCACAGGTCCGGACACCATGTGCTTAACAGAAACAGAAACGGATGACAGATAGGGGGTCATCCAAGATTCGAACAGGAGACCTCTCGATTACAGAAGGTTCTGATACCATGTGTCCATGTCAAGATACAGTTGATCCCAATACCCCGAGTTGTTGGGAGAGGTTCAATCGTAGTTCATATACCGTTTACTAGCACTTTCAAACGAAAGTATATTCATATATGGGTTTGAAGTTCATACATATATGAATAACATGTGCTTAATGGATAGCGTTGTTGTCGATTTAGAACACAATAATTGATTTGTTGAGAGAAACTTTAATAAGAATATATCTTAATTCATTTACTAACAATTGCCTGGTCTACTTTTTCGTATTGATTCTTGAAACATGATATAAGAATTTTTTGGATATAAGAATTTATCCACAATAGAAAAGTAAAGTTAAATTGGCGGCAGGCGACTATTTGCTTCATCCTTCTTATTCCAAGTAACTTTATGCAGGAGTAATACTAATATACTAGCTAGCTAGTGCGTGAACTTTTCATCTAAGTCGACTTGTTGGTATTATATTGATAGTAATACGACATGGGTGGCAATTAGGGGTGGCAGCCGGTCAGTTTCGGTTTAACCGAAAACCGAAAACCCGGTTATCGGTTAAACCGAGCCACACTCTATGACTGCCGACCACCGACCGAAGAGAGGGCACAGCTAGCCGGTCAACCGACCGGTCGGTTCCGGTTTTTTGATCGGTTAGCCGACCAACCGAAAAAAATACATTAAAAAAAAAAAAAGAAACCAAAAAATCTGCTCCACTAATATCGAACCTTATCTCTTCCTATCGCCTTCTCCTCCTCTGCACCAGACATCTCTCCTCTCTCCTTCCTTCTTCTTCTTCTTCTTCTCTCAACTTCTTTCTCTCACCTTCTTTTTCCATGGAAACAGATCTGCAGGCGGCGCGGCGGCGAGGCGGCGAGGCGCGGCGGCGGGGCGCGGCGCAGGGGAGGAGGAGGTCGCCGTTGGATCCACCGCCAGTACCAGATGCGCCGCTGCCTCTTGCATGCCCGGCTCGGAGTCAGAAGAGGGCGGACGAAGTTGTTCTTCTTCGTCGTCGTTGTCGTCTCCGTCGTCGCGACGGCGATCCGTCTCCCGCCGGCGGACCAGGAGGGGGAGCGGAGGAGGCAGGGTGTCTGTGGAGGTGAGGGTGGAATGGAATAGAAGGAAAGGAGGCAGGGTGTCTGTGGAGGTGAGGTGAAGTTGTGGATGGTTGCTGGGCGAGGGATGGTCGCGGGGAGAGGGAAAGGAGGAGGAGAAGGGTGGAAGAGGCGTGAAGGAAACGGTGGTGAAGGGAGGAAGCAGCCATTGTTGTTTTTGTGGGTCGGTTTACTTTTAAGTTGTGGGTCGGGTTACTTTCCACCAATTTATTCATCCTCTTTTTTTACATTTTTCGGTTGTGGGTCGGTCGGCCGGTTAACCTCGGTTAACCGCCTTCGGTTACTCGGCTAACCGGAGAACCCTTCAGGCTTGCCGAACACCGACCGAGACTCATACCGACCGGTTTTCGGTTAGTGACTAACCGGCGGTTAGCGGTTAAACCCGCCGGTTAGCCGCTAACCGGAAACCGATCTGCCACCCCTAGTGGCAATTACAGACGCTCTTTGCCCCGTTGGTGCAATGCAATGAAGTTTTAATTGGACTTCCTAATGACTCTTTATTAACCATTATACGTTAGTGGGCCTGAAAATTTAGTGTTAAAATATTAGGTTATGGATAATATCACTTACTAAGTTACTATGCGTAGGAAGAGACGAAATGTCGTCCAAAAATGACATGGAAATGTCAAATCCATAACTAGCTAGGTAATGGCATTTTGCGTCATCCTTGGATAAACTCGGGAAAAATCGAGTGAGCAAATTGCCACGTCACATCTTCCCTCGAATGGAAACGAGGAGCCCGACTAATTGGGCCGGGCCTCGCACAAATTCATCCGACCTTTGGGCCTTGGTTCTAACATCACAAATTCATGGGGAAAAAAATAAAGTTTGTTAGAAGTGGGATTTGAACCCACGGTAATGGCATTTTGCGTCATCCTTGGATAAACTCGGGAAAAATCGAGTGAGCAAATTGCCACGTCACATCTTCCCTCGAATGGAAACGAGGAGCCCGACTAATTGGGCCGGGCCTCGCACAAATTCATCCGACCTTTGGGCCTTGGTTCTAACATCACAAATTCATGGGGAAAAAAATAAAGTTTGTTAGAAGTGGGATTTGAACCCACGGTAATGGCATTTTGCGTCATCCTTGGATAAACTCGGGAAAAATCGAGTGAGCAAATTGCCACGTCACATCTTCCCTCGAATGGAAACGAGGAGCCCGACTAATTGGGCCGGGCCTCGCACAAATTCATCCGACCTTTGGGCCTTGGTTCTAACATCACAAATTCATGGGGGGAAAAAATAAAGTTTGTCAGAAGTGGGATTTGAACCCACGCCCTCTCTCGAAGACCAGAACTTGAGTCTGGCGCCTTAGACCACTCGGCCATCCTGACTTATTGTTCATATTTCACTTAACTTTTTATTGATTATTGTAATATAAGGGTAAGAAGGACGCAGGGCCCTACAGTACAACCACAAGCAAGTGCCTTCCACGACAACAATGGAAAATTTGACGTGGATCAGCAAATAGGGTTTGCATGAATCCAGAGGCAAACACTTTTGCCCAAATTCCAAAAGCAAAGTTGGTCTTCTTCCTTATCTTGCCCTTGCTATGTTTCCCTTTTTAAGCTTTTTCAAGTTTCCACACAAATCAGGCCCCATCTTTGCCCAATAGGGTTCGGCCCAATACACCTATAGTATAGACGGCTTATATTCGTTTGTTTCTTGAATCAACATGCCATTGATTGACTAAGCCAGAGGGAGAGAGGGGTATTCTTTGCAAAAGCACACATTGGATTTAGCCAGATTGATTCGTTGGCCATATAGATTTTAGACCCTGGTAAACTTGAAGCAGCGAGAGGAGAGTTGTGCAAGAAGAATGAGACGATGCTTGAAGAAAAATATACAAATCATTTGCAAAGAAGAGATGTGATACCGATATGCAGGGCCTGCAAAATCATTCCTGAGAACCCTCTGAAATATAGTTAACCAATTTATTTTATTGGGCCGACCTTTGGAGTGAGAAGGAGGAAACACGATTATGTCGGTGTTTAGAATGATCGTTTATGGTGGGGTTAAACTAATGAAACCAAACGCAAGTATACATTGACTAATTAAGGACGAGTCGTAAAAAAATAATTTTGTTTTTAACAAAACGATGAGTCATAAAATTCTAATTTCCATTAGATTTTCTCTAAGACGTTCGTACAAGTTGTGCAAAAGTAATTAGGTCATTTGGATGATAAATTCTAATGGATCGATCTGATACAATTGTCTCGTTTTGAGACAATTGTGTCAGATTGACTTGTTTAGCAGCAGAAAATTTGAATGAAGCAATTTGGACTTGGAAATTCTAAATTGACTCATTTTGTGGCAATTACAATTATCTTGAGTGGGCAGGTAATTCAAATTTACTCGTTTTACACGACTCATTTTATAAAGCGAGACAATTAATTAAGTTGTCTCGTTTTTCAATTGATTCATCCAAACCATCTCAGTTTACTTGGAAATTTCCTATAGCTAGCTATTTAACGTGTGAGGTCCATCTCAAAAGGGCAGTACTCTTATCTGTGAATCACCCAAAGCAAAGGAATGATCAGTACGGTGCGTATTAAAACAGCTACCTAGCTTAGCTGGTGAACTTTGTTTAGACAAAGAAAAGGGGGAAAAGAATTAAATTAAAGCAGCTTTCCTATTTATATTTTCTAATACTTGTCTCGTATATTTGGTCGATCCAGCAAAAAGAAAATCTTTCATAATGTGAACACTTGAACGATTGCCTTTTTAAATTTTGATAGATAGAGGGAATAGGTTAGGGTGGTTACTCAATTTTGAGTAATCACGGTGGTTACCAACATCTATACCATTCATTATCTTTATTTTATTATATTTTTAAATTAACGATTAAGATTAGCTAAGGGTAATTTAGGAAATGAAAAACATACCACACCTGATTACTCTATATATTATACTCAAACCCTAATACAACCTATCTACCTAGCCGCCGCCTCTCTCTTCTCCCACCCCACAACCTCCCTGAGATTATCTCTAATTAAGACGAAGTCTTCCGCCGGACAAACAAGCCAAGTCAGGCGCCTCCCCGTCAACCAGTGGCTACCGGAGGAACTACAGCTAGGAATCTTGTCCAGGCTGCCGACCCCTGCCTCCATCGCCCGATTCCGCTGTGTCAGCAAGTCGTGGCGCCGCCTCCTTTCCGACGACCCCAAATTCATCGCCAAGATCCTCTTCTCCGACCACGGTGACCTAAAAGGCGATGAGGAGGCTCAGGTTCTAACTCTCGACGCTTTTCAGGAGTCGTACTTCATCCACTCCTGCAACACGCTCAGGTTGCGGCTGGAAAAGGTGGGATGAATAAAAACCCTAGATCTGATTTTTTTTTTTGCATTGGTAGTGATTTTTTCGTAGTGGTAGTGTTTTTTTGCATTGGTATTGTTTTTGTCGCATTGGTATTGATTATTATGCAATGGTATTAATTTGCATGTATTGGTATTGATTCAATCTGCAATGGTATTGATTTTTTGTGAAATGATATAGATTTATATTGGTAGATTGTTTATATTGATAGTTTTCGTGTAATGGTATAGATTTATTTCTGCAATGGTATTGATATTTTTCAGAGCGGTAGTGATTGTCTAATGGATTGGTAGTGATTTCGTGTTTTTCCTTCTTTTGCAGAAAGATTGAGAAAAATAAGGAAAAGAGATTTGACTGAAGATTATGGAAGTGAGAGAAAGAGAGAGAATTGTAATTAATAGATTCTTGTAATTATCTAAAATATAATTTATTAAAAAAATTAATTAATATAATTTATTTTTCATACCCAATTTACCCTTAGTACCGTAACCTGTCCCATAGATAGAGGCATCAAATTGGAATCAAAGTTTATATGCAATCATTTGTTCTTATGTATAATGATAATAACTAGTATTATCGTTAGGAATCTTATTAATGATGAACTGTCAAATTAAGATGTTTCCACAAAGGTGGGATCCAATATTAAATAACTGTGATGTAGGTTTGCTAATTGATGCACATATTTGAGATTATCTACTCGATTTTAAGAAAATACTAGAAAAGCCATAGGAAAGTGAGTGAAATAGGCAAATCGTTTTTTTAAAGCAAAATAACCGTCAAAGTTTTTCAAAAACAATTTTATTAGCCAAACTGTCGTCTTTTCATCTGGTCAATTGTTAGTAAGACAAATGAATGCTAAGTAATTTTTTTTTGTGATGTGGCTAAAAGTCAATTACTTTACTGTGCCTCATGACTACGTCAGAGTCAACTAATGGTTGACTGGAGAAAATGTTGAAAGTTTGGCTGATAAATTATTTCTGAAAAGGGTTGACTATTATTATGTTTAAAACGAAAATAATTTAGACAATAAATTGTATTATCCTAAACCAATTATACCACCAGTCAAACCATATCACTTGCCAAACCTACAATAACGTCATAAACCGGTTTGACAACAAATCAATTATTGTAAATGACCCCCTTGCCGATTCTTGGGTCCTCCACTATAACAATTTGAGCAGAGAAAAGTGCGGGCTCAAAGTACGCAACCCCCGACAAGCCAAAATACGTCGATTGGTTGACCCCAAAGACCACCACACATGCAATGCTACGAAGACATCTTTTTCGGAGAAAATAAAATACAAACAAAGGTGACCGATGAGGTCGTCAAGTAGGAAAAAGGTATATGAAATGAAAGGAAGGGATTAGATCAATACAATAGACAGCAAGTAAAAGATGAAAGGTGGCGAAGAAGAAAGGAAGGAAGACCATCGACGACTGAACTTGATAGCTATTGGTGAAAAAGAAAAGTACTGACAAATATATATATATTTGAAGCAAGCAAAAATAAAAGGGTGTCAAAGGTGACGATGATGAATTGCGCTTTTCTTATCTTGCCATCGCAGCAACAGCATGGTGGAGAGGATCAGAACGATTGATGGATGGATGGATGGGCGAACGAGGAAGAAGATAATTATATCATACACACCAACACGACTGCATGCCAAAAAGATATGGAAAGAAAAGAAAGAAAGCATGTAACTTCCCATCCTACCTTTTTTTCTCTTTACTTTTAATCACATTTCTTCAAATTGTAGGACAAAATTCTAAATAATTTTAATTGATGACTCATTGATCATTATTACCACTAAAATAGAATATTATAATGTGTACCGTGACAATTTTAAGAAATTTAGTTTGTAGGAACGTGGGTGAAAGATATTAACACCATTTTAGAGTTTGATCTGTTATTTGTATTTTGTTAGTAGAAACGTTGGATGCAGACCGGAGCATGTGGACATATATATATGTGTATGCAATCTAAAAGGAAAATTTGAAAATGTTTTAAGAAATTGAGGTCATTAAAAACAAAAAAAAAGCTATAATATAATAAATAGGACTTTGCTACGGTGACATGCATGTCACGGTGACATGCACTTTTCGGTCGACCTCATATAGGATCAGGTCGACCTAATCTGTTGTTTCAGTGTGAAAACAGTTTCATGGTGCCTACTTTGGAGATTCATATCTTACAATTGGCTAGATGAAAATTGGAGATTAAAAGCTTGTTTTGAAGCTGAAGTGTCCCTCTACACATTAAAGTACTTGGGAGCTCAATAGAAAGTCCAGAAGACCATTTTTGAACTTGACCAAAAGGCTATGCCAAAACTGAGAAACTGCCTGAAAATGGCTAAGTCTGACAACGTCTTTGTCAAGCCTACTTTGGAACTCAATTTGAGAAGTATGGATGCGGTCAAGTCCAGAGGCCTCTATCACGTTAAATTACGTATTTTTTATACAAAGACAAGGCATTGGATGAAAGATTTAATATCTTTAAGGCTTCATATAAAAGGTTCGAAGTTGCTACGAATGCTGTTTTTCTTGCAGCTTGCTTGTGCTCGAAGTCTGCCAGAAAAACAGCCTTCGTAGCAACTTCGACCCTTTTGTTTGAAGCCTTATAGATATCCAATCTTTCATCCATTGCCTTGAATTTGTATAAAAACATACCTAATTTAACATGGTAGAGGCTCCTGGACTCGACTCGCATTCATGCTTCTCGAATTGAGCTCCAAAATAGGCTTCACAAACACGTTTCCAGACTTAGCCATTTCCAGGCAGTTTCCCAGTTTTGGCATAGCCTTTTGATGAGGTTCAAAAATGGTCTTCTGGACATCCTATCGAGCTCTTAATCACTTCAATATGTAAAGGGACACTCCAGCTTCAAAACAAGTCATTAGTCTTCAATTTCCATCCAGCCAATTGTATGATATGAATATCCAAAGTAGGCACCATGAACTGTTTTTACACTGAAACAACAAATTAGGTCGACCTGATCCTATATGAGGTCGACCGA